TACAGTTTATATGTCTTCTACACATAAAAATATTTGTATGTGTAAAATCTGAAAGGATAAATAAGAACCATATAGGGGATATCGTGCTGGGGGGTGGGGATGGGGAGAGGGAGTTTCATTTCCTCATTTATTCTAAACTTACATTTTTTTATAATGACAAATATTCTTGGTATGTGTGTGTGTATGTGTGTACACATATTAAGGATTTAGGAATTTACTAATTGTACAGTTATAGGAGCAAAAGAACAGATTTTAGAGAAAGTGTGTTCAGAAACAGTTTGGCACTGCTTGAATACAGGACACATGAGTCCAGGAGACAAAGTTGAAGGTATATTTTCAGTAGCAGCAGCCAAAATATGAAGCTTCAGCTTGGAGAGCAGTGGAGGGAAGTCAGTGGGAAGGTGAACGTGGAGCAGACAGTACAGACAGTGCATGTGACAACCAAAGGAAACTGTCCAAAGACGAGGCAGTCAAGCAGAGCAGACCGGGGACTTTCAGGAGTGCAGAGCATGATCTTATTGAGTAGGAAGCATCTGAAGAGCAGATGTACATATTTTTAGAGAAGACATCTGTTAAAGATATTAAAACCAAGTTTTCACTAAATACCTATGATGATTATGGGACCAAGGGACAAAGGGGGAGAGAAAAATTCTTGTAGGCTAACAGAATACCAGGGAACTGTGCAGACAGTCTCTTGAAAACTAGATGAAGTAATTCAAATGCCAAATTACTCACAGACTGTTCTGTTACAAATGCCAGTGACACAATGGAAAAACCCCTGAGGAGCAAATCTGCCAGCCAAGGTGAGTTTCAGCTTCTCCTCTTTGGCTGGTCCTTCTTGGTGGGTCTTGTGCATCTCCTCTCACTAGCGTTTGTATAGAACAGTCTGTGGTTAGAAAAGGAAGTGTTTAAAATACATGGCTCAGCCTAAAATGTACAGACAAGGGTCTTGCCTGTTACTGGCAGCTTCCATGGCCTGAGTCGGTGTGGAGGTTAGTTCAGTCGGCTGCATGCCACAGGCTCTCATGCAAGGCACTTGTCCGATGGCCTAGGAGGCCAGGAGCCAGCGCCTCAGTAGCAGTTCCCTCAAAGGTTGGTGCCTGCCTGCTGGTTCTCAGAACTTTTTACACTTTTTCCTTCCGCCTCTTTGGGAGGTTTTGAGAGGCCCACAGTCCTCACCTGTAGGGATCTGTAAGCATTGGACTCTACAGTTATCTACCAAAAATAACCTATTAATCATGAACTAAACTCCTGAGATCAGTTTTAAACAAAGACTGTAATATGCCAGACCTTTAGCAGTGATAATCTGTAGAGGGAGGGAGTATGACTCCCACCCAGCCACCCCCATATGCTTCCTAATTTCTCCTATAATGAACAGGTAGTGTGTGTTTTGTAGAGAATAAATATTAGGAACTTAAACTGTACAGACAGCACTGTCACCACCTGCTGGCAAACGCTTAGAAGGACTTCTCAGTAAATGCAGACTGGTTAACAGTCGGCTGTGGATTTGCATTCAGGAGTTCTGCTCATTCATTTCAAGTTCCGTTTTAATTTAAAAGTCTAACACCTGGATTATTTTGAAAAAAGATCATCTCTTTCCATGGGAACTATACTGTAAAGTAGGAAGTTCTCATTCATAAGCATGTGACATGAAAAGAATTCTGACTTTTAAAGGCACAGTATATTTCTATCAACTGGTCTAAGTATTACAGAAAATCATACTCTGCTGGATGTATTATTCATTTGGCGATTTGTCAAACAGTCTGTAAATTCTTAAATACACCCCCACCCCACCCCACCCCCCACCCCCCACAAAATATCAACCCATAAAGCAAAGTATATATGCACTGGAACCTTCTTTACAAAAACAAAAACATTTATTGACCCATGACCATAAATTAGATCTAAATTCTTTTACTAACTGTCAATCTGCATGGCCTCCTGCCTTTTCCCATTGTCTGGCGGTGTATGGTCCCAGCAGTTCTATCTATGGACTCCACCATACAGGTTCCCTGAACAGAAAGTGTAAGGATATTCCTTACCGTTACTATGACCATATGCTACATGATAATCTGGGAGTTCACTTCACAGAGGTCCCATTCCCCAAGGAGTATTTTCTCCCATCCTATTACTCAGGCTTTTGTCACTTCAGGCTGGTATAGCCTCAACATCTCCTTTCCACCCCATCCATGTCTCGGGGTCCAGATCAAATGTATCTTTCCTAAACCTTCCTGAACTGTTTCTTCCTCTATGCCCCTCAAGTATTCCATAGATTCCTGTCTTACAACACTTGTTTCGCTCTAATTTGCATGATATTACACTGCAAACGTGAGCTGTATGTATGAGCAGCTCTGAACTCAACCACTCAGAGCAATCTCCAGCCCCGTGGCATCTGACAAGTCATAAATGCTCCCTAACTATCCACTGAGCATCTGTCATCCTGAAGGTGATGACCTTGGATTCTATGGCTCAGATTCAACATCAACAGGAGTCACTGACTTGGATATGTGCACGCACACACGTGCACTTTTGTATACACCAAGGGTAATCAGCTCAAATGGTGACAGATGATACTGACTATGGCAGCACAGTCACCAACGGCAGCAGTTTCAAAGGCAAAGCCCAAATGCTGACCATGCATTACACCCATGGTCACTTTAAAGGTCTAGTTCTTTGCATATTCTTTAATCAAGCAGTTGCCAGAACTGATTCAAACATTAAGACTATAATCTCTCTGGTCTTACTATTTTTGCTAAGTTTCTAACAGGGACATGAGAGTCAGCCTCAGGGATTGTGTTCTATAAGCAAAGTAAATTCAGGAAATGACAGGAAAAGGCAGAAGTTACAATGCTGCAACAGGCTAACTTCTTTCCAGGTTGCAGTCTGGGTGACACAGGCTTCCTGGAGCTCAGCAGCACTTGACTTTTGGCTTCTTCCGCAAATGACCAGCCTACTGCTCCCCTGTCAAGCCCTACTCAACAACTTGCCCAGGTCTGACACTCCACCTTAGGAAACAGGGTGTGCTGCCCTCAGAACATCTATCCTATAACATACATCCTAATAACTAGGAGCCACCACCCTGAAACCCTTTCTCTCGGTGGAAGTTGCTAATGGAACATTCACCAACACCCACCTAAGCCCCCAACCGTCAATTTCCTGTTATAATCCTTGTACACTACTGATCATTTCTATAAATTATTCACACACACATTTTCATTATAAATACAATACTTGAATTCCTATTAAAAATAAGTGGAAAACACATAAAATATTTTAAGAGAAAGGGTGGTATAATATATCTGTTTATATTGGGGACTAGCACATGATTGCAGTGCGCGCACACACACACACACACAGTGAGACTTTCTGACTCTATCACTACTCTGAGAGCAGGCAAACAAAAATTTCACCTGAAACTATAAAATCCATTCTCCTCACTGGAAGGAACCACAAAGGTCCTCTAATACCCTCTAATTGCAATGGGCTCCAGACATTGGGGTTATAAGGCCATGAAACTGCTCCCCTATACTAACATCCCTATGTAGTTAAAAGGGAAGGACTAATACGGAGCTGTCATACTTTATTTTGCCAAGTTGTGGGCATTTTTAAAAATCACCATTTCAGAAGCAGACACTTTAACATCACTAAAGACATGCCATCAGAATGACAAGTGAATACATTTAGCTTTATAAAACTTGACTTTATTGCATTTACTATGTCATGGACCTTCACTGGTCAGGGATGGACTCTTAGGAATTAGTGACTTTTTAAGAGGCTACAAAATTTCAGACCTAGTAAGAACCAAAATTTCAGTCATTCAAGAACCACTATCAAATCATTACTATTGTTTCCTTAATTTTTTTCATTAAATAAACTCACATTTGTACTTACAGTTTTATTTTAAAAGAAAACTTTGGATCATTTCCAATAAGGAAAAACAATCACTATCCCTTGCCACAAATAAAGGCAAACTATAAATGAATGCAATAAACAAAACAAGTTATTAAATTCCAACTAGCTAGTGTTACAGGCTGAGGCTTAATCTCCCTCCACTGACAAGGGGGATTGGCAAGTGGTAAAATAGCAGTGAAAGACTGTCATCAAAGCAAACTTTTCTCTTTGACAAAATCAGGAGGATTGAAAGTAAAATGAAAAGAAATTATTTTCTCACAAGGTGATACAGGATTATTTAGTGCTGGATCCTATCCCAACTAAAATCATCTCTAGTGGCTCATGTCCCACTCTTAGAGTAAGACTTTGGTGCTTGTGTACTGTTAACGTATTCATCCACTTAACACATTTACTGAGCACCTATTATGTTCAAAGCACCGTACACTGTAGACGAATGAACAAAACAGACATGGTGCCTTCTGCAAAGCTTCCTTCCTAGTGGTGAAACATAAGCTGCACAAATGCTCACACAAATTACACTGGCATTGGCTTATATAAACATGTCTGTGTATATCATGTGAAATATAGGTGAGTTAAATACGTCTACATGAACACATGTATTTGCTAAGTGCTATAAAGAAAAATTACAAGTTCTTATGTTATAGTTCGAATAGTAGGACCTTCTCTAGATAAAGAAAACACTTACTCTAAAGGACCTGGAAGGAAAGACCTATGTGAGAATGTAGCAATTCAGCTGAGACTTAAAGAACAAGAGTTATGTAAGGGGGAGGTGGAGTTTCTGGGGCACTCCAGGCAGAGGTAAAAGAAGTGTAGGAAAAAGATGGGCTCCTCTTTTAGTGAACTGAAAAAAGGAAGTGTGGATGAAGCGTTGCAAGCCAAAGGAAGAGGACAACTGTAAGAGGGGATAACCGGTCTCAGCCTCTGCCTGGAGAACAGAAACTCTCTCTGCAAATCTCTCTCTCCATCTTTGTACAGCACCCCAGAAATGTCTCCATATACTCAAGAGAAATCACTTTACTTTACATACACTAATATATTGGTTTAACCCCTGGGCATCTCACACATACACACACACACACACAAAAAAAAAAATTTAACCCATTCTCCACAAGGGAGTCCTTCAAATTTCTGTAAACGCCTAGGAAGTTACTCCTGTACCTTTTCTTCCAAAGAGTCTCTGCTGTGTGTTGTGCTCTTGTAAGAAAGGTGGGCTTTCCAAGATCAATTTCCGTTATGGGATTGGTATTTCCTTCTCCACATATAACGCCACATTGCTTTTTAGTTTTGGATGTTGCTTATTTTTTCTCTGTTTCTAACTGCCTTTCTGGATAACACCCAGCAAGTTATGGTCAGGTCAGATTTACTTGAGAACTAGGACCTCTCAAATGCCTGCCATCAGGAATGTTTATTTCTTCTTTCATGTCTCTTTCCTGTACCTCAAAAGACAAATTCCAGTTATAAGGGAATAGCAGTGGGCATTTACCTAAGCCAAATTCAAAGAAACAGTCAAAGTTTGTGGTAGAAAAAAAATACAGTATTGACTATTAAACGGATCTCCATTTATTTGGAGGGGGATTGTGGATGTTACATTCAGGGAAGGCGAGTGCAATGGGAGAAACTGCTCTTAATGGCCTCAGTTACAACGCAGGTGGCCCTAGAGGCAGGCCTGAAGAGGTGGGCATTCTGCCAGGCAGGGATCACACATCCCCATTTCAAAACTGGAGAAGAAAAACATACCAAAAAATCCATGAAGAAATATAATAGCCCTCTCATGCTGCCTGCAAGTGAAATGGCCTTTATTTATACATTTTATCCAAGTAAGATGGATAAAGTATTCCTAACTGCTCTCCTCTGTGCTGTCTCCCCTCTTTTATTTCTAGGATTTCTTGCTGCTTCCTGTTGCGAGGAATGTTGTGTCAGGGAGGAAGTCAGATGACTTGTTATTCCTAAGGGTTTCCCTCTTCTGTCAGCCTCTCCACTCTGTGACTGCTGCATTGTTCATTTCGCCTTCATCAGAGGAAGCAGTGTGGCCTGAGAAAGAGCAAGTGAGGTTCAAAGCAGGCAAGCTGCTTTTCCCCATCAGTCGTGATACACCTGGGGAACGCAAAGAAACTGAATAAAACACAGTCCAAATAAAAAACTGTCCAAAACACAGTCTGCCCTTTTCTCATGAGCCAGCCCGTAAGAGGTTTACTTCCGCACATAATCAGAAGAACTAACACTCAGGGAAAATGTCTCCAACTACAAGCAAAACTACATCACAAAAAGCATTAACATTCAGTGGATTTAAGTGACAGATGGATGGGCTTCTGTCTGTCATGGGAAGTACCCAACGTGTAAAGTTGTGCAGAATGGTGTTTGCCATGAAATTGCCAGCTCCTCCTGGAGATCAGAGACCACGTTTATTCATCTTTATATTCCTTCACTGTTGATACAACCTGCAGATTAGTTGTTCAACAAAATGCCTCATGAATTGGATTCTTAAGAGAAGTAATATGTTATAGGAATTCAAAAATATTAAGACATCTTCTGGTAGTAGAACTACGGTGATTTTTATTTCTGTTTTTTGGCTTTTCCATGTTTCTAATTTTCTCTGGTCAACATGAATATATTCCATTGAAAAGTTACCATTAAAGCTTCATAATTGAAAGGGACCAGAGAAAGTAGCCCAATCCTCTTATTCAGATGGAAATTGAGGCTGAAGGGGGCCTTCTCTGGTGGCGCAGCGGTTGAGTGCTGGGCTGCGAAGCTGCCCGCAGCCTCTGCAGCACTGGTTCGATCCCCGGCCCCCAGCAAGGGTCCCACATGGTGCGCAGACCTCTCCTGCCGCGCCCACTGCTCCCCTCAGCAGTGTATTTCATCGGTCTGCCTGTTCTGCTCCCCGCTCTGGTGAATTCTCTCACCCTCCCACTCTTCTGACTGTACCCAGTGCTTGTATAAATAAATACATAAATCTTTAAAAAAAAATAAAAAAAAATTGAGGCTGAAGGAAGCTAAATGATTGTCCAAGATCATAGTTTGTTAGGCAGAAGCTGAAATGAAACCGTCTTCATCCAGGTTTCTCAACCCAGTATCCCTCCTTTGGCAATACCCGCTGCCTTCCCTGGAAAGACGGTGCTTTGGTGAGACTGTAATCTAATGTTTTAAAAAGCCTCTAACCCAGTCTAAACTCAAACGGTGTCACTCAGTGAGTTTATTCCATAGAGGAAGGTGTGAACCTATTCCCCTAAACATACGGTGATGTAAACCAATTTTACCTCAATCAATCAAGTACTTGGCTAAGTATACAGTTTTTCATTGCTACAAAGGTGATTCAGATTCACTTTAGAAAATTTAGAAATCCACAAGCAAATGCATCAATGAAAAGAATTCAGAGACAGCCACTATCAACACTGTTTTGAATCTTATTCTTGTATTATGACCTAATCTCTTCACAACAATGTGGTATTAATATGTCACAGGTCACTTAACACTTGTCCAAAACACATTGTTTCAAGACTGCATTGTATTCCACTGTACGTCCAAAGCAAGCTGTCACTGATCCCTTACTCTGGAAACTGCCTTTTTCCTTTCTTACTATCATAAAAATGAATAAGCATGCTTACACATCAATGCACATTTCCATCGCTGTTTGTTCCAGACAGAAAACTCTTAGTGGAACTGCTTGAGAAGTAGAAATACAAATTAGAGCATCTGTCAGTATTACTAAACTGTTGTCCACAACAACTGAATCGCTTAATACTAGAGCATCCACGTTTAAGAAGTCCCCTTGTCCTTTACAAACACTTGGGACTGATATTTTTTAGACCTATAACGCCATGTTGTAATTGTCTGGAAATTGCCTAACTCGAAGATTCCTTGAGAATAAAAACGATGTCTTTTATTTCTGTAGTATTTCTGCTATGTAGCAGGCACTTATGGTGAGTGGGTGGGTGGGTGAATTTTTGTCAAGGCGCACCAAGAAACACCAAGACGCAAACAAGTTGTCTTTTCCCAGTTTCCAGGATTCTCTTGACTGATCTTTGTACATGCCCTGGGGAAAGCCCCCAGCCCTGAATTCTGCTAAGCCATCTTGCCTTTGGTTCTGGAGCACGAGGCTTACATCCCACAAGATCTGGCTCTCGTTCCCATTTGACTTCGGCAGACAAGATATTAAAATTACTAATTTTGGCTTACAGGTTGTTTACTGTGTCAAGTACAGCTAATTAAAGTTTTAACAGCAGAATAACAAATCTCAGATTTCCCTTAGCAAAGCAAAACTGAAAGCAAACACCCCCCCTGGACTGCTCCACAGCATCCAAATGCACCAGCTGGAAACATCCAGTCACCAGGGGCTGCATACGACTCAGAATTTGTGCTATAATTAATTTAACCCAATAATGCCGTGCTGAAAGGGCACTTGGTACCTATTCACCCCATGTGTGGACCTCATTTTGTCAGTCCTCAGAAACCCCAATGGGGTAGACCTGGGGTCTTGTTTGGTGCACAGCTCCTGTGCCCAGCACTGTTGCACACATGGTAAATGCCTATTAAATGTCTAGTGGAATTTGCTGACACAAAAGAGACGAAAAATGGGATGAGAAGATTGATTTGTGGAAGCCTGGCTGGGGGTGAGGTGGGATAAAGAGAATGATCCAATGTTCTTCACTGTCACCCACACCAAGTGAGACAAAAGGACACTCAGGGAAGAAACAGCCTGGTGCCCAGCTGGGCAGCTACACAGTTCATAAATTCTGGAACCCAGATTTGTTCCTAAGTCAGAAACAACCTCATTCATTTTCCCTGTTCTATGCTGCCTTCCAGCATCGGGGGTGGGGGTGGGGTGGGGGGGAATGTTTAATATTCTATGCATAAGAAATTATATTGCAATAAGTAATTTGAATCATAGTTTCAAAATTAAAATACCTTGAATAATTAACTATATTTCAGCTATGGTGAAGGAGTCACAGCAACATTCCCCCTGACTCCTGCCCCCTTATGCTTAGAAGACACCAAAGAGAGAACAATTCTCTACTCACAATAAAGCTGCAGTGAAATCATAGGTTTCATGGGAAAGGCAGAGAACAAAATGCACAACAGACTCTCTGATTTGCTTTTGTTTTTCAATATGGAATCTCTCCAACTGGAGATAGGAGTTAATCATTTTAATGACATTAAGTACCAATAACAACCAGGTGCCAATGCGGCACGGGAAATCATCAAACTGATCCATTCATTTATTTGGCCTGAGGCACTATGTAAACAAAGACAGTAGGTTCCTCGCTGTCCTCATAAAGCTTCCTGTCACTGGGGAGATGCATGAGCAATCTGTTGCTGTACAACGCAGTAACAGCTAAAAGGCCTGCGCCAACAGCATCACAGGAAGTCCTTTACCAAGTTTTTCAAGGCAAGACATGGTGGCAACAAAAGAATGGGTTGAGAAAAAGTAAGTAGAAGCAATAATTACACTAGTTGACAATATCTGCAATGCAAGCAGTTACCCATTTATTGAATGTCCTATGAACCAGGTAGTCATGACAACTCACTGAGGTAAAATGTATTATTATTCCCACTGAAGCTTGGAGAGTTTAAATAATTTATCCAGCTAGTAAATTCCTAAACATGAGGAGAACAAGTTGGGAGTAAAGATGTGAAAATTCATGTATAACAACCACTACCGTTTTCACTTGAAAACGAGGTACACATCTATATTATTTGCTGCTACATAACAAGTTACCCCGCCCCCCAAATCACTGGCTGAAACAACAAGCATTTATTATCTCATAGTTCCTGTGGGTCAAGAATGTAGGAGTTGCTTAGATGGGTTGTTCTCAGGATCTCTGAAAATTTGCAGTCAAGATGCTCTCAGGACTGTGCTCATCTGAAGGCTGGGTTCGGGTGGGAAGATGTACTTCCAAGATGGTCTCTCGCGTGACTGCTGGTGGGAAGTCTCCTCCTGCCATGTGGGCCTGTGCACAAGGCTCAGCGTCCTCATGACAGGGCAGCTGGCCTCCCCCAGAACGAGTAACTCAGGAGAGCAAAACAGAAGCTACAAGGTCTTTTATGACCAAGTCTCCAAAGTCTAGTTTCATCTCTTCCTCAACTTTCAATTATTGGAGTTGAATTCTCAAGCACAGTGCACACTCAAGGGGAAGAGAATTAGTCTCCACCTTTCAAACAAACTGACGCGAATTGGTGGATGTATTTCAAAACCATCACTATACCTCAGACTGGAAACTAAAATCAACTGTGAGGATCCTACTTGGAGAAAAAGGTTTGCATTTCGAAAAGGAGTGGGTGGCAAAGGAATCAGATCCCAAGTGTTGGGAAAATAAGACAGTGTCTACAGGCCAGGCAAAGGGCTATTACCTGGCATCACCTAGGTGTAGTTATTTTAGGGGGAGGAGGCTGGAGCTCAGTAAAATCCATAGATTTAGAGGCAGAAATGTGCAGTTAAAAGAAATACTTTTCTGTTATTTATTTTTGTTTTCCCAGATGTTGAGCACAGTTCTTTCGAAAAGGTCAATTTACTTCTTGGGTCTGTCACAAGAAAGGGTTAGGGCTGGAGAGAAAGGGGGGAATTTAGCAAATCAAAGGATGGGAGTAGCAGCATGGATGAAAGGGAGGGAGGTTAAGGAGGGGAGAGAGGAAGAGCAGGGCTCCTCCTACCAGATTCTCCTTGAGGGCTCTTCTGGTTTACCCCAGACTTTGGAACACTCTGTGCTCTGTTCAAAAGAGGGAGGCTCCTCCTTATCAGAGCATAAAGAAACTGGATGGAAATTAACTTCCAGCACTGAAAGCTGAATGTTAAAAAATCCATTTAGATGACTTCACCAAAGCAAAACAGAGACTGTGAATGGTCTTCACTTACCTCAGCGTTTGCACTGTTAGAGAAAAATAGCACAAATTCCAGAGATAGCCCAGCACTGTGGCTAAATGGTTGATCTTAAAGTCGGATTTGGGTTCAAATTTCAGTGCCATCTCCTACTAGCTGTGACACTGTAGGAGAGTTCATCTTTTGCAGATTTGTTTTCCTTTTTATAAAGATGGGATTATTAGTAATTTCCTCCAGGGCTGTGAGGGTTTAATGAGGAATGTCACCTCTTAAGGCATGA